TTCTGAAAGAGTGTCTGTAAGATTGCAAGACTTGGAGCACTTCATTAAAACCATCTGGTTCCCTTATGGGAAGATTTTTAGTTACTGATTCAGTTTCCTTAATGGTTATAGAACCACTCAAGTTTTCTGTTTCTTAAGAAGCTGATTTTTCTAGTAATTTGTCAATTTTGCCTAAGTTTTCAAATTTATTTGGAATAACCTTATGATAGCCTCTTATTATCTATATATCTGCAGCATTATTTTCTCTGTGATCGTTCCTCCTATGTCTAATACTGTTTGATCAAGTAGACAGTAAATCAGTAAGCATTATGGAAGATTTAACCAATAAAATTCACAAACTTGATGTAAACAACATTTAAAGAACACTACATCAAACAAATATAAATTGTGTATCCTTTTCAAGGATGTAGAAAATTTTTTAAAAATTACCATGTGGTAGGCCATAAGGCAAGACTCAACACATTTCAAAGAATTAATATAATATGGAGAACAGTCTCTGATTAATGAAAGAAATCAACAACAACGAAAACGTAGGAAAATCTTAGTTTTGAGATGTGAGAAAACACACCTCTAAAAAACCAATGTTTAATATTATTTAATTGTGCCTTCTATCTTCTGTTCTTGATCAATCTTGACAGAGTTTTCTATTTGTAAATCTCTTCAAAATACCACTGTTTAGCTTTGTTGCTCTTCTTTATATAATGTTTTTCTATTTTATTAATTTTAAAATATATTTTTCTATTTTTCTTTTTCTAACTTCTTAAATTGTGAGCTTATATATTTTGATATATATTATGTTTGTTATTTTTCAGTTCTACGTATTTTCTTATTTCCATTAGGATTTCTAATTAGAGCCATTAGTAGGCCCTACACACATACCCATTGACAAATTTATATGTGTACACACATATAACATATTTAGTTTGATTTTTTAAAGCATTTGCTGTTGGGTTTTTGTTTGGCTGGTTGTGTGTACACTAATTTGATCTTTAATAGAATACACATATCAAAACATACATGTGAATATATACATGTATGTATTTTTTCCTTAATTTAGTCTTTCAAAGATACTTTATTTTAGCTGTCTTATATAGCATATAGCTGGCTTTTGCTTTCTGTCTCAAACTATGAACCTATTATTGTTTTAATAGATCAGTTTAACTTATTTGCCATGATTGGCAAAATCCATCTCTTAGTGGCATGGGATGGCTTCTGGGCTAAGTAAATTCACAGAATATTCTAGTTCTCCCTAACCTGCCTGCCCATTCCTCCTAAATTAGGCATTTTAACAATCTTACTCTTTCTTACTGTAGTATTTTGTATTATGACTTCTCAAGAGAAGACAGAAGAGCATCCTTTTGTGGATATATTTAATGAAGATGAAGCTGACAAAAACTTTATGTTGTCTAAACCTGTTTGCTTTGTTGTATTTGGGAAACCAGTAAGTTATCTCTTCTAACTTATTATTTAATATATTTTTTAATTTTTAAAGTCATAATCTCATGTTACCATACAAGATTGAAAACCACATCGTGTGCTAATTTTTTTTTGAGTGTTTGTTAGACTTTCACTGTATGACAAACTCTGATATAGTATTGGTTGTAAATTATAACTTTCTCTCCTCTTGTACACTATTATTGAAAAGGAACCTAGATTGTATTTATCTTTGCTTTTATATTATGAATAAATTAACTCATCAAAGCACTGCACCATGACAATTGTTAGTAGCATGTGATCCAAGGTTATTTCACACTCAATTTTCATATAAAACTTTCTGTGAAATTTGTTGTGAGGCTCTCTGGATATGTGAAGACAGGACACTAAAGAGACAAATGGAGGATACTCTCATCAGTGTCTAAAGCTCCTGAGAGGGGATATGCTTTATCTTTACCCACAGTGTGTTAGTGGACCTATGTATTATCTTTCTGCAAAACAGGAAGAAACCAAGAATGGCTGTCATAAGATAGCTCACCTTCCTAGGCAGTTCTATTAAGGACCTCTAGATGAGAGCTTTTTTCAGCCTCTGAGCTTAGTTGGTAGTTACTGTTAGAGGGTCTAAGGTGGTTAATATTAAAAGCCTCTCCGGAATAGCAGAGTCTAAGGGCTGACTTGATTTTCTAGAGACCCTGGGACAGGGTCAAGAAATGGTTCCAGTAACTTCTATTATGTTTCTAAAATCAATAGAATTTTAAAAGTCAACAGTGGAAGCAATCAGATGCAAGTGTTACTTCATTAAAGTGAACTTTTATCTTTAAACTATGATACTTTTCAAAGATGTCCATTAAGAAGGAATTTTTGCTCTTGAAAGTTACTAAATGGAAGTCTGTCAAGACATTCACAATTATAAACTTTAGGCAGGAAATAAAATGACGAATCTCAATATAATCAAAATGATTTGTACTCAAAATTACAAAATTTAACAGTCGGAAGAGTGCAATACCTAGAATACCATTATGGTACAGCTTCCTGCTTTCAGGGCTATTTTCTTAATTAAAAAAAAAAAATCACTTCATAAAATGTGGCAAACGGGACAGTTAATAGAGAAAAATGAAGCTATAAATATCTAGGGTCTATTCTTTATTTATTGTATGGAAAAAATTTTACTTGATAATATTATGTAATTATAGTAACCATCAATAGAATCTTTAAAAATATCTGTTTTATTGGCAAATAGCTATTCTATTGGGTTTTAAATAATATCTTTCTTTTTAAGGGGGTTGGTAAGACAACATTAGCCCAACAGATAACACAGGCATGGAAGTGTATTCGTGTAGAAGGTAAATTTTATCTTTTTTCCCAAATATTTTATTATGAAAACTTTCAAACATGCATTAAAGTGTAAAGCATTGTACAGTGAACACCCATATGCCCATCTACTTACTATCTATTAGAGTCTATGATTAATATTTGCTATATTTGCTTTTCACACATCACTATCAACACAGTGAACATTATCTTTAAAATAGCATCAAACATGTTTTGCCCTTCTGTTAGTCTTAGTTTTGGTCATAGAATTTAGGACGTTTATGAAACATCTTTGACTCCATTCTACTGCTTCCCATTCTCTAATTCTGTAATTTAGAACTATTGGGGATATGTGTGTTTTGGGTGTCTCCCTGTGAAATATGAAAAGAGAAGGAACTCTCACAGCTGCTCTTGGGGAGATTTTCCAGGACTTAATTATCTTTAATGATAAATTTTATTTTTTATTATTTATAATTTGCTTTGCATTCTTTGCAATATATATGACAGGGGTTGATGTCTTTGTATATAAATATTCTTTTAATCAATAAAACCATTTATGCCTTAATAGAAAAATAAGAAAAAGAGTGAATCTGTAATTCATAAACATGGAAATTAAAATGGACAAATATAAGAAAAGAGTTTAACTTCACTGTTACTCAAAGAAATGCTAATTAAAATAATGCTGATCTATATTTGCCTAATAAATTGGCAGTGAATCTTTAAAGTTTCTACCATCATTGTTGGCAAGAATGTTATCAAATGAGCATTTCACATGCCATTAGTGATATTGTGATCTGGTACAACTTGGGGGAGAGAACAATTCTGCAACACGTAACACACACACACACACACACACACACACACACACGACTTTAAAATTTTCCCCTTTTTTTATCAAAATAAAATTCACTTGTAGGAAATCTTTAAAAGTACCAAACTTTCCATAGATTATTAGCAGCTAGGGACATAATCAGCTCCTGGGTCCTACCCTAAGTTATACCCCTGTCATTTCTGTCCCAGGATATCTTCCATCATGGAATGAAATATCTCCTCTTAAAAAGGAACCAAGTTACTAGAATTTCAGCCTCAGGACCCCTTTTTGCTACATAAATTTCAGTGTTCATCTATTTTTAACATTTCTTGATGCATATTTTCCTTTTATACAATCAATGTGCAAAACTAATGGGCTGTAGATGTAACTACGTATGATTATAAAAGTATCTGGACTGGTAATACTACTGTACACTTTGTATGATACTTTGTAATTTCCAAATCACTGTCATATACAACCTCATTTCAGCCTCGTATTCCCTTGCATACTACACAGGGCACAAGCATGCAAGGTGCAAAGGTGTTTGGGAAGTTAGCTTCCCCAAGATCCTTTAGCTAGTGAGTGTCAGAGACAAGTTTTCTGTGGAATACATTCTGCTACCTTATACTTTAGTTAGGCTTAAATGACATAATGTGTATAAATGTGCTTTGTAAACTCTAAAGTGACACAAATATTAATCTTTGCTACTAGTTAAAAAACACACAAATATGTTTCTTAACTTGGAAATTCTAATAACAATTTGTGCTAATATTTTGAATTCATATTTTAGCTTTACCAATTTTGGAAGAACAGATTGCCAGTGACACTGAATCAGGAGCTATGGTAAACAAATCTAACTTTCAAAATTGTTACGATTTCCTTAAAAGCTGTGTGTCACAGATACATTATACAATCATGTACAATATCTGTGTTTGTTCTTAGTTGCAGTCGATGCTGATCAGTGGCCAAAGCATTCCAGATGAACTTGTCACAAAGCTAATGTTGGAGAAGCTCAACTCCCCAGAAGTCTCTCACTTTGGTATGCTTATTTTTATACAGCAGTGGCTATCAATGCAGCCTTAAAACTCGTGGTTTATCTGAGGCACAAGTAATTCCTGAAATTGCATTTTCTTTTTTTTGCCCTGGCATAGGAAAGGAATCCCAGAGTCCGAATTCAGTTGAGCAACTCCAATAGTTTTATTTCCTTGTTCACTTGTTTTTATTCTTCAGAATCTACATTTGTTTTCAAATTTTAAGTTTATATGATTCAATTCTTCTTTTAGTAATGTGTTATCCAGCAAAAGCATGAAAAATCTGCTGTGGTCCTTGATGCAGTGCTCACAGCCTCTGCTGACTGCATTCTTATTCACCCTGAGTTTTATTACTAAGTCCTGACAATGATTAGGTTTCTCTGCATTAATCCACACTAATAAAGCTGGAAATGGGAACTAGAATGACAGCAGCTTACTCTCTGGCTCCAGATACTGGCAGGCTGTAGCCTGTTCATCCAGTCTACGCTCTGACTCTGGACCCGAGAAATCTCCCTGCCCTCAAACGGATGCTGAGCAGGGGCTTTGGATCTAATTTCTCAAGAAAGACTACTGAAGTTCGGAATGACTAAAAAGTATGGCAGTTGCAAAAGAAGGGAGAAGAATCACAATGTGTTTGGGAGAAAAATCCACCTGAAATGGATTTATTGAATGAGAGAAGAAAAATTTAGAGATCTGCTTTATATTCTCAGTAAATTAAGACAGGACATTGTCACTATTAAGAATACAGGAATACAAATAAAGTACAGTACAATGAAAATCAATAGTGGAAATAGCAACAGCAGACTTGTCACTGAAGACCGTATATATATATATATATATATATATATGTATGTATATCATCTATGTCTATAGGTAGAAAGATCTATATATAGATTATGTACAGAATGAACTATATCTATTTATACATATATAGATATATATCCAGATAGCATCTCCTTTATTTCATATAAATATGCTAACTATCCATTTATCTATCTACTGATCAGTAATAAAGAGGATGAACTTGGGAAAAACACCTAGAATGTGGGAAGTAAAATGAACAAAAAGGTAAAAAGGACAATCATGGAATTCCAACATAGGTCAATAAATGACCTCAAAAAGTATAATGATTGAAACTGAAAATGCATATGTAAAGGTAGATAGGCAAATATCTTTTTGTTAATTCTTTACCTCACATTACCTCTTGAGAAAATTTAGAGTGACTTACATGGCAACAAAAAAATGGCATAAATTATAAGTATTGGCAAAAAGAGAAAGCAAAAAACATGAGAAAAATAAATCTACTCAGCTATGCCATTCACAGTGTTCATAACCCTTTTAACATCTTATTACAGAAAATTTCAAGCAAAAGTAGAGAATGATATAAAATCCCCCCATGTGTCAAAAACCCAGCTTCAACAATGACAACTGTTGTTTCATCTTATTTCATCTATGCCTCTGCATACATTCCCCCCCAACCTACTTTATTTTGAAGCTAATCCATATCATATCAGTTCATGTTTTAGTCTGTATCTCAGAAAGATAAGGACTCTTTTAAAACTTATCACATTACCATTATCATACCTAAAAAATTAATAATAAATCATCTACTAATCAGTCTATTGTCAAATTTCACTATGTGCCTCATATTTTTTTTCTAGTTGGTGTTTTTTTGTTTGTCTGTCTGATTTTGGAAGCAGGATCCAACCAACCAGGTTTCACATATTGCTACTGATCAGTATGTCACAAGTCCCTTTTAATCTGTAAGTTGCCCCTACCTCTTTCCATCATCTTGTGTTTTCTATGCTGAAGAAACTGGTTGTTTGTCTTTTAGAGTTTTGTATCTTCTGGAGTTTGCTGATTGCACCTCCTGCTGTCATTTAATGTATTCCTCTTTCCCCTAGACTTCCTGTGCACTGGTACTTATCCTGAGAGCTTGCAGAGGAAGAGTGCTATAAATGATTTCTTTAATATAAATTTATTTATTTATTTTTGGCTGCGTTAGTTCTTTGTTGCTGCGCACGGGCTTTCTCTAGTTGCAGCGAGCGGGGGCTACTCTTCATTGCGGTGCGCAGGCTTCTCATTGCGGTGGCTTTTCTTGTTGCGGAGCACGGGCTCTAGGCATGCGGGCTTCAGTAGTTGTGGCTCGCGTGCTCTAGAGTGCAGGCTCAGTAGTTGTGGCTCACGGGCTTAGTCGCTCCGTGGCATGTGGGATCTTCCCGGATAAGGGGTCGAACCCATGTCCCCTGCATTGGCAGGCAGATTCTTAACCACTGTGCCACCAGGGAAGTCCCTATAAATGATTTCTTGAGTCTGAGGGCCACATTATCAGCATGCAAGTGCATGGCCACGGTCATGCACAACTGGGCTCATTTAAAGGCTACAGTGAAGGCAGGACCTTGAGCCCCTTCTGCCCAGCCTCCCCTCACCTGTCCTACAGCAGTCCCAAAGGAATTTCTTTGGAACCTAGCACTTTGCTAAACACAGTTTGAAACTCTCTGCTAAGTAAGGATTCTTTCTGATGTTTGGTCTTACCCAGCAGCCTGGTAGATGGTAGAAGCAATATTGGAAGTGAAGGGCTTTCAAAATAGAGATATTAACTTGGGTCAGGGGCTGGGTAAGGCTGGGTAATTGATGACTCCAAGATCCCTAAAGACAGATAATGTGCTGTCAGTAAAGTATTGCCAGATCCAATCTTAATATTTTTCTGTACCAGAGCCCTTTTATACTTGGAGGTTCTGTCACTATTTAGAAAAAATTTACACAATCTGCAGTTATAATCCCTTCATTCACAACCTGTCATGCTGTGTTGGCCTTGAGCCAAAATCAGCTTCCATGAGCTGCATCCTCACCCAAGAGAAAATGGCAGTCAATTCCTGGGCACCCTGAGAAGCCCTTCTCTGTATCCTCCTTCTAGATTCCAGAAAAAATCATTTTCCTCAGTGACTGATGGACAGCCCTGGTCTGGGCAGCCCCTACCCCAGGTATAAGCACATTGTGGATGGTACTGTCACTCACCAATATGGCCACTCATGCCAGGCTGGGCTGAGGTGAGATGACTATCAGGGCAGGCTGGATGCTAAGCTACCCAGTGTCCATGAATCTCTCAACACTTCGATCTAAAAGCAGTAGCATACCATCTTCAGCTTTGTGGCTATAGGGAATACCTCCTTCTCACTGTGCCAGAAAGCGGGGGCAAAGTGATGGTATGGGCCTGTTGGTTTCCCCTGGGCTGTGGTGTGAACAGTCTTTGAGTTTTCCCTTGGTTGGGGGTGATGCATGCTGGGCATTAGCCTGCCGAGTGCCTATTCTGCCTATGATCGTATATGCAGAGCCTTCCAGCAAGGAGTGGCGTGGGGTCTACCATTCCTCTGTTTTCAGCATGGAGTGCAAGGGCTTGGTAATGGTGTCAAGGAGAAGTGGGACAGAGGGTGGAATCCTCACCTATGCTTCCATCTTCACAACATGTCTCTGGGATTAGAGGGGTTGACAGTGGGCTCAGCAGCTCTAAGAAGTATCCCCCTGAGATCTTCCCAGAATTGGATCGAGAGAACTAAGATATTCCACTGTAAATCTTCAAAGGTGAGGTAAACAAGCGACATAACTGTCTCTGCCACAACTCTTCCATAGACAGATTTCCAGGGTCTGGATATGATGATACTGGGCACCTCTCAATGGGTAGAGCCCCCAAATCCATTGCTCAGAACATTAAGGCAACCCAAATAATGGCCTATCAGGAGACAGCCAGACCCCATGGAAACAACCCACTCTTCTGCTGCCTCCACCAGGGAAGAGATCAAGTATGAAATTCATTCAAATATACATGTGCACCCAAGGTTTGGCATGCCTGCAAATAGTCGCACTTGGAATGCCTGATAAGCTCTCAGGGCAGTGGCAGTGGTTGTAGTAATGGGCAGGGTGCTGGAGAGCACAGCAAACAGAGTGCCAAGCATCTTTCTGTCATCCACTTACAATAGACAAATGTGGGCAGTGCTGGCAGCAGAGGGAATGGGAGGAAGGTCTTGTGTAATCCCTTGTTTCTTAGAAGGGGAGGGCATGAACTCTGGGAACTGACTGGTCTCTGGAATTATCCAAGGTTGAATTCAATCTAGGGCTAAGTCATGCAGTCCCTTCACCACAGCACCCACAATTGCAATGTGTCGGACCAAGGGGTTAATGCCAGCCATCATGTCCCAAAGGAGACACTGGTCAGTCTTGACAGCCTCACTCCATTCAGTTTTTATAAAATGTCTGCCAAAAATCAAAGCTTAATAACCATAATTTGTCTGTCAGTTGTTCCTCCAAGAAAAAAATATTCTATAAAACAGCATAAAAATTGTTCAAAGGCCTTTAATTCCAAGCCACGGAGTTAAGAATTTATTAACAAGAGAAAGGTTTCTCAAGCAAGAGAGTGACATAATTAAAGAAATATATTAAGGAAACTAATATGATGATGGTATCCAGGGTGAATTTCAATGAGAAGATATAGGTTTCTGGGTAGGGATGCAAGCCAATAAATGTACTAAGCCAAAATCATATTGGTAATGTTGTTTCTTAAAATGTATGAGGGTTACATGGGTATTTTATTACTCTCTGTAACTTATATAAACATATACATATATATTCCATTGTATTATGAAATATTAATTCAAGAAATAAAAATAATATGCCATGCAAGCCACTATAATATACCTTTACCATTCATCATATGAGCTTTCCTAACACGAGTTAAAGAATTATTGGCATGGAACTTCCTTCTCTAGGCACCTCATGTGCCTAAAATAAATTGATTTGGAATTTTTAAAGATGTCTCCTCCTAGCCCAATGGTTTTATTTATTGTCAGAAAAACATTATTCAGAGTTATACTTTATGTGGCAATAACCTTAACTATTAATTTTTAAATGTTGACAGATGATTTTAAGACCAGCATTAGTATTCATCAATAACTAAATGATATTTTTATAAAGTAATAATAATAAATCCATGCTCTCAGACATTGATAATATTATAAAACTTTTAAAATTATGTTTTACTCTACAGGCTATATTATCACTGAAATACCATCACTTTCACAGGATGCCATGACTATTTTCCAGCAAATAGAATTAATTAGAAATTTAAATTTGAAACCTGATATTATAATCAATATTAAGGTAAGAATATTAGTTGTGTTTCTAGTATGGTATATATAACCATTCTTTTTGATAGTTAAATTCAAGGAATGTTCTTAATTGTTTTAAGGAGTTAGGAAAATAATAATTTATGCATCAGTTATAGGGTCTGAATTATACTTTGTCATACCTCTGTGCTTTTGCACCTGTAGCTCCATCCACGGGAAACACCTCCTTGCCTCTTCACCAGGCTTCATCACAGTTATCCTTTGAACACCAATTCAGGCATCATCTCTGCAGAACTTTCCCCAACAACCAACCCCTCCGCACCAACACAAACATTAACTAACTCTCATTCTCTCTCCCTCTCTCTCCCTCTCTCTCTCCCCCACAGCTGCTTCAGCACAGGAAAGTTAAATACTTCTCTGATGACCATTCATGTTGCTCTTTTCTATCATATTACCTCACTGTATTGTAATTGTCCATTTTCTTCTAGACTCTGCCTTACTTGGAGGCAGGAACCATGTCTCACTCCTGTAAACCTCAACTAGCACAATAAGTGGTACCTAATACGTTTGCCAGTTAAATAAAATGAAATAATGAACAAATGATTTGGATGTACAAATGTTAAAGAACACTGATGGGTTGGTCCTGTTCCCATTTCTCTCCTTTGCCAACTGTAGAACATGGTAAATCACATTTAGGAGCCTCAATTTCCTCTTCACAAAGATGATACAAAGATAGCTGCTTCAGGGCTTCCCTGGTGGCGCAGTGGTTGGGAGTCCGCCTGCCGATGGCAGGGGTCACGGGTTCGTGCCCTGGTCTGGGGGGATCCCACATGCCGTGGAGCGGCTGGGCCTGTGAGCCATGGCCGCTGGGCCTGCGTGTCCGGAGCCTGTGCTCCGCAGCGGGAGAGGCCACAACAGTGAGAGGCCCCCGTACCGCAAAAAAAAAAAAAAAAAGATAGCTGCTTCATAGGGTTGTGGTAAGAATGCAGTGAGGTGAGGACCACTTGTTTATATGAACATGAATGATAACCGTTTATAACAATACCCTGGCTGATTCCCCAAAGGGTTTGACAACTCAAAATAAATTAGATGGTCCTCAGCTCAGGTGCAGGGACTCAGTGGTGTGTTTGGGCTAGCTGTGAGAGACAGGTGGCATTCAGTGATGGGTGTGGTGTCATCTGCAGCCCCAGCCCAATGTCATGGTCAGAGGCTACTCAAAATCCCTGTGTGACCTTCAGAATGTCACCCATGTGAACATATGTATAATGGAGAGAAAAAAGAAATCTCAAACAATTAACTGAAACCAAATATAAAGTCTAGGCCGTGGAACACAGAGATTATATAGGAAATTAAGACTGGGTGGAATAAGAACACAGAGATATACAGGCCTTAAGGCTCCAAATGCTCACTAAATGTGGGTCATAAATTTGGTTCTAAGTTTGATGAACCAAAGCAGAAGGGGGAAATGTGACCAGTTATATAAAATCCGCATTGCCCATGAAAAGACAAGCCATTCCTCAGGAAAAACAAAATGAGAGATATATCTTACATGGGTCTCAACATAAGGATTGTTAACGTAGAGAATGAAGTCCTTAACCCCATTGATATTGTGTGATGGTGGGTGTCCATGGCAGTTTCCACAGGTAGCTGGGGCATAATCAGAGGGCCTCATGTGAGATAGAACTTCAGTACAGCATACACTTCTCTGATGGTTTGGCCTTATTTGGGGATACAGTCTGGGATTTCTATACCAGAAGTTTTTAGCCTGGGATCCATGAATCCTTAAGCATCCATGAACATTCTGAAACTATATGCAAAATTTATGTGTATGGACATTTTTCTGAAGCAAAAGCCTATGGCTTTCATCATATTCTAAAGAGGTCTGTATACTAAAAAAACAAAAAACAAGAAAACGCATTAAGGGCCAGTGATCTGCTACAGCAGTGGTTCTCAGAATTTGGTCCGAGAGCCAACTGCATTAGCAGCACTCAAGAAGCTTGTTGGAAATGCAGATTCTCAGGGAGCACCCCAGAACTACAGAAACTGTTGGGGTAGCACCCAGCTGTCTGTGTTGAGAAGCCCTCCAGTACACATGGATGCTGCTGAAGTTTAAGGATCACTGCTCCCAGGCATACCTTCAGATTCACCCTAAGATTAATAAATCACTTCCTATAAGTGAAAACAGGAGACAATAGTCTTTGTCAAGGACCCACAATGTGGGTATTCTGGGTTGCTGAATGAGGGTAAATATACATGTGGTTTTTTTAATTACCAGAATGGGTTGAGATCTTTTTTTGTGAAAAAATTAGAAACCCTAAATAAAAGTCTTGCCTCAGGGGCTTCCCTGGTGGCGCAGTGGTTGAGAGTCCGCCTGCCGATGCAGGGGGCACGTGTTCGTGCCCCGGTCCAGGAAGATCCCACATGCCACAGAGCGGCTGGGCCCGTGAGCCATGGCCGCTGAGCCTGTGCATCCGGAGCCTGTGCTCTGCAACGGGAGAGGCCACAACAGTGAGAGGCCCGTGTACCGCAAAAAACAAAACAACAACAACAACAACAAAAAAAAAAGTCTTGCCTCAGTAAATACCCATCCCATCTCCATATAGAAGTAGTCTGAAGAAACCAGAAAATGAGCACGAAAAGTTCTAAAGTTTCTCGCTTCCTTTGTTTCTCAAAAGTGTGATGCATGAACTGTTGGCATCAGAATCACTGACAATGTTTGTTAAAATGTCTGAGCCTCACTCCAGACTTAATAAATCACAGGGGAAGCAGAAATCTTTATTTTACGGTCCTCTGTATACAGTTACACTCTAATGTTTGAGAACCACTACTATAGAATGTCATCCGGAGTTTATCGTGAAAAATATTCAGAGCAGGATTTACAGCTCAAAACCTTAGTTTATCATTAATAATGTGTCACAGAGCGTGGGCTACAGATCAGAAGGCCTGGTCCCGAGTTGTAGTTTCCCCTCATGACACTGTGACCTTACTCTGCCAGAGCAGTCCTTCTCGATCTGCAAAATGGCTTTAATCATATTGTATTACTTCTCTTACAGGGTTAGTTTAAGAATTGAGTAAAATATTACACTCGTGGAAGCACTTGAAATGAGAAAATTACTCATAGACTTTGGTTTTGTCCTTTTTTACTATCCAGATTCAGTTTTCTCATTTACAAAATGAAAAGGTTAGACTAAACTAGATGACCTTTCAGGTCCCATTCATTGATGCTATTTTATGAAATATTTCATCCATAAAGCCGTAAATGATAGTAAATACTATAAATACAAGATACATGTTTTTGTCAGAAGATTGTGGCTATTCCCCCATTTTCATCCATTCTCAGCTTTTTCAAACTGATCTGACAGAATCCTCCTGTGTACCTTTGCTGACTAAATTGATTTTCTATTCTATTTCTCTGGCTCTTTCTACTGTTATTCTAACCCTCTTTTTTTATTTTACTCTTAAAGCTTCTGATACTTTCTCACATGTATTACTTTTGGGTAAAGAAAAGTGTTGTCATAGCATAAAGGTTGTATCTTGTGCCTCTCTTGGTATATGATAAAATCTGATTCAAAATGCCATTTACAGTATTGAATTTGCTCAGGGTTTTGAGGAATTTGGGAGTTTAGATACTGCATAATATGTGAATAGGAAGTAAAGGCATATTCAAAATGTTTTATGTAATTACTAATGTTGTTCCTTAGTGTCCTGACTATGATTTATGCCAAAGAATTTCGGGGCAAAGGCAGCACAATAGTACAGGATACATATTCACAAGAGATCAGTGGGATCCTGAAGTCATTGAGAGTCGCAGGAAAAAGAAGAAAGAAGCCCAAAAGGAAGGAAAAGGAGAGGAAAGGGAAGAGCAAGAAGAAGAGGTAATATCCCCACACCAGATACGACACTTTTAAACTGCTATCATTAACTTAAATGATAGCATAAATAATAAAAAATAGCAGCTACTAGAGAAAATTACACTTTCTTTAAGTTTTCATTTAGTCTGGAGGAAATAGCAAAAATATTTCATGTTTTCAAGAACCATTAGATCATAATGTCATCAAGTTTAAGGTCATCCTTCTTGTCAGTATGGAAGTCCCTCCATATCCTGACAGCTAATCTGTTTAATTTCATAGCAACAGAGAGTTACTGGTCACCTACTATGTGTCAAGCACTATGTAAGCTAGAGTGAGGAGTTAGAGCAATATAAGACAAGTGTAACATGGAGAAGAAGGTAGCCCAGTCAGAATCCAATTTATGAAGTTAGCATAACCCCGATTTCAAACTCTGACAAAGAGAGCACGTGAAAAGAAAGCGGTAGGCCCAATTTCACATATAATGTTGATACAACAATCCTAAATTCGGTACTAGTAAGCATAATGCAATAGGGCCTCAAAAGAAACTTCTACCATGACTTAATGGGGAAAATTGATATAAAGAAATCTGTTAATAGGTGACGGGTTGGATTTAGCCTACTGGGGTGGGACAGGTCATAGTTTGCCAGTCCTTGCCCTACTGAAATATACCTGTGATTTCTATTATAAATTTATTTATTTATAATGTTTAATAATTTAAAATAATTTCTATAATTTGTAAATTACTATGAATAAATACTATTTCTATTAGGGCCTAGACACTGTGAAGTTAGATGTTAATTTGTAGATGGCTACATCACAAATCATTTGTCTAGTGGAAAAGATAAGCCCCAAAGGCTACAGTTTTATTGCCCTGTAGGATATTAAGCAGGATATCAAATTTTGCACTCTGATTTCAGTTATTATAGATACTTCAGCTTTGTCATCCTGCTGGTTCCCTCACTAATAGGTTAAATGAATTTTTGACATTCGTTCTTTCACTTAAGAGTAGATCTTAAAAGTTCTCAACACAAGAAAAAAATTGTAACTATGTATGATGACGGAGGTTAACTAGATTTATTGTGATCATCTCACAATAGGTACAAATACAGTTGACCCTGGAACAACTCCAGGGTTGGGGCACTGACCCTCCATGCAGTTAAAAATCCAAGTTAACTTTACAATCCGACCTCCGTATCCACGGTTCTACATCCTAACAACCACAGATCATGTAGTAGTATGGTTATTTACTATTGAAAAATATCCTCCTATAAGTGGACCCATGCAGTTCAAATTCACGTTGCCCAAAGATCAACTGTATTGAATCATTATATTGTACACCTGAAACTAATGTAATGTTATATGTCAGTTACATCTCAATTTTAAAAAACTGTTAATATAAGACAGCCCATTAAAAAATATAAAATAATCTTCCCTGTGCAAATAAGGCATTAGATAATAGTCAGCATCTATATACCAGATTTTTTAGAAAAGGTAAACCTCACAGCAAATAGGAATAAAAGTGTGTCATTTTAGCCTGAATAAAGCATACCATTGTAATTAAGATAATAAATATGATAATAAGATAATAAATATGATATTGAATGCCTACCAGGCCTTGGGCTGAGAACTTTTACACATACTATTTCCTCTGTCTTGAAATATTCTTTCCCCAGAAATCTGTGTGGCTCTACTCAAATGTCACTTCTTCAGAGAACCCTTTCATGACCACCTTCTCCCATCACTCTCCGTCCCCTCTCCCCTGCATCATCTTTCTTCTTAGCTCTTACCACCACAGCCTAACCTGTGAGGTATTTATTTGTCTACTTATTTATACTCTGTCTTCCTCAATTGGGACATGTGCTCTCTGAGCCCCAGGGCTCAGTTCTGTTCTGTTCCCCAGTTTTGTTCTCTGTCATCTCTCAAGCTCCTAGAACAGTGTCTGGCACAGAGTAGGCACTTAAGCTGTACTAAATGAATGAATCAATGAATTAATGAGCTACAAGCTCAAGTATTCATAAAAAATCTAATTTCTTTGTCTCTAAAACTCTGATGTTATTCCTTTACTCTTCCCTACTTATTGGGGAGCAAAAAGAAATTAGTAAGTATCCAAGTCAATTTAAAGCTTTATTCCATCTGATAAAGGAACTTCAGGGGTGTTCTATCTCTCTAAAATAAAAATCCTGTTTCTAATCTGCCCTTCTCCCTTCTTCTCATCCCAAAAGGGCATCTAGGTATAAGGAGGGAAGGATATGACTTGTAAATAAAGTAACGATTAACATAAAGATATTTAACATCTTTTCCATTTAGGCATTTGTTGCTGAAATGCAGGTGGTGGCTGAAATTCTTCAACATCTAGTTCAGAGGCCTGAGGATTATTTGGAAAATATCGAACACATTGTTAAACTTTATAAGGAAATAATTCTTCACCCTTTAGAAGTAAGAACAAGATATATTGCTGAAAATGGGAATGTTGATATTTGTGTTTTATCCCAGAAATAACTTTCACATTTCTTCACTTCATGTATTATCTGCCTGATTCGCCTCCTCTTGAGCTTGGTAAAATGCTATCAGAATAAGGTTGCATTCCAAAAGCTGTTTCACAGAACAATATTATTTTACTCTTACAAAGCAGGAAT